ACTGTATAAATTAAATCTAAATAAATCTGTGTTAAAGCTACAAAAGTGATTTTTCTTTGTACGTGCATCTGCGTGGCTCTCACCGTGTCTACTCCGGACACGAGCGGCACGGCGCGCAGTAATGCTGTCTACACTAGTGATGGGAAGTTCAGATCATTTTACCAACTCGGACCTTTGACAGGGTATATACAGGAATCATGGAGTTAAATTTAATACCTTAGCTAACGGGGCAATGAGTTCACAAAGTATATTCAAAAGATGTATGTCACATCAACTCAAACCATAGCGGTTTTGTGGAACACTTCTCATGACAAACATCTGACTGATCAGACAGTTTACCTGTATTTGCTCCTCAACAGATCCCGAGCTCACTGACAAATATCTTTTAATTGTAAGATGTGCTCCCTTTACACAGTACGCGCGCGATCGCGAAATCGAGAGTGAAAGTGAACTACGACTGCGAGCGCTCGTTCAAAGGGGATTTAAATACCCCACATATATATAGCGGCGCCCTGATGTGCGAAAATTATATACAATATTAGAATGTTTGTGGGAGCGGACACAAAAATCGCGGGAGCGGATGGGAGCGTGCAGTAATGGTCAGAAATTCAGCGAGAGCCGGATCAACAAGCCGCTATCATGCAGCGGCGCAGTCAGTTCATTATTATTTACTCTTACAGTTACGTGATGCGTTTCTGGTCTCAAATTGTAGCTTTTTACTTCTTACAGTTTATAAATGTGTGAATTTCTGTCATGATGGTTCTTTTCCATAAAACTGAATGTTGTAACAAAGGTAATAAAGAGTTGGTTATTATTATTATTAAGTCTCTTGGCTCAGACTGCATAGGTTAAGCTTATGGGTCGGTCACGTGATGAACGAACGACTCGAAAAACCCGAAGACTCGAAACAGTTGAACTACTTGACTAATTCCAGTACAGAACCTATAGGATGTTGCACATGTGCGACTGAACGAATCACTCCCCGACATGACTCGTTCTTCCCGAGTCACATTAAAGATTCGTTCAAAATGAACAAATCGTTCAAGAAGGACCCATCACTAGTTTACACTGGATGCGGTGCGGCACAACAAACCCCAGACAGTAAACTGATGCCGCGTTCTATTTATGACGTACTGACACAAAGTTCAAATGATATGCAACGATCGATTTGTCGCGTCCAGTATAGACAGACTTTGGGGCCGTTCACATGTTGTGCCTAAAAACGCGCTGCTTTCTCCTTTTTTCCAAAGCGCTCGGGAGCTTGCGCTTTCGTGCGGTCTGCCGTTGCTAAGCAACCGTGACCTGCGCTCTCCTCGACAATGCGGAAGTGTCAACAAAGGATAAACGGATTTCCAGCACTGAAAATCACTTGCAGTAGCTCTGCTACTAAATGTATTTAAAAAGGGTATGTCTGTATAGCTGTCGCGTCCGGTGTAGACACCGTGTCTGTGTGTGAGCAAAGAAAAAAATCTGTATAAATATAACGATCAGTAGCCTATACTAAACATCGTACATCCTGCGATGTGACTATCGCGGATGTGCACATCGCGATATCGATGCTGAAACGATATATCGTGCAGCCCTATATAAGAGCTCCCATAGTTGAAAAAGCGTCACATTTGGGTCACACCACTCGGTGGGACATCATACTCCCGCCCTCTCTGCACGCCTTGAGCTACAATTACTAGACAATTAAGGCGGGATGTGTAATTGATGGCTGACTGAAAGATTCTCCCTTATGTACAGACGGGATACACTGAAACAACCCCTCCACATACTCTGGACTGTTCATGATTGCATCATTCAATTGTAATTTCCTGAGATGAGAAAAAATGAAGCAAATGTGGTTGATGATGTAGTTAGGCATGCATCATTTCCGACAGCAGGTGAAACAGTCTCATTATGAGTGCTGTGTACACCATGCATTTTAACACTGATTACATTTGCAGGTAAAAACAATGCGAATGGTTTTTCATCAGTATTCTGGAAACTAGTGGTTCCTTGTTTCCTTTAAAAGGAACCTGTGCATAATATGACCATGCTTTAATGAATGACAACGGATTCTGCAGCAAGTTACAGTTAAAGTCAACATGAAATGAAAATTTATTTTTTTGACCTCGTAAATTTTAATGGAACTGTCAAAACTCCAGCCCTTTCTTACAATCGGCTGGAAGCTCACATTCAGATTTGTGTCCATGCAATCAAAAACTGATGGACAGAACAAAATCCCACCTTAATTTTTTTTATTTTTTGATAATCTGTTTCACTTGGATGTATGTCACAATCTAGAAGAAGAAAAAAAATCTGTCGCTACTTCAGTTTTATCACAACTTTAAGATTTGGACAACAATTAACTTCTTACTTTACAGTTACACAGTTCTATCAAGAGTATTTGAACAGTAAACAAATATGTTTGTAAAATGACCACTAAACTGGATATTGTACAGCTGACCATGGCAACATACTGGTGCTACTTTCCTGTTTCTCGTATCACTCCGCAGCCTAAAAATTATTTTTGCAAAATGGTTAACAGCTTCAGACTGTGGTAAAAATGGCCCTGGGGCACTTCAATTTTAATTTTATACGAATAAAAACTTTGATAGATTGGCTAGATTATAAATCTATAAAGAAAGACAATGAAACCAGTAAAAGATATAAAGAGCTGATTGAAAGAGAAAAACAGAGAAAGAGATGTACATAAATTAACTTGCAGATTAATATATAATTTATTATAATATTGTTGCAGTGCTGGTCTTGTTGTTGGCCAATAGCAGTCTACGTTGTAATGGACTATTTTTCTTAGAGGAAGGTTGAATCTAATTTAACAAAATATTTTGAATTACATAAGTATTTTATGTTCGTTCATTTTTATATATCATAACCAGGAGTGTAATAATAAGCAGGAAATCGTACAATAAGCTGGTCATTACCTCACAATATCGTTTATTTTGTCCGCCAGGCTGCAAATGATCATTTATAAATTACATTACAGCTTATTCGTTCACTAAACCTAATTCTACAACATAAAAACTCAAAATATAAGTCCTTAATCATAACATAAGCAAAACCCATCCACGCATTTAAAGGAAAAAGCTGGGATCAGTCATTTAATGTGTCATACAGCGCATTTCTTAATCATCAAAGGCGTCAAAATAACGGTTCGGTTGGCAATAACCTAGCAACAGCCCCCAGTCACCGGACACCAGCGGTCGGAAAGAATGGAAAAACATCCCAAAATGTGCTTAAAATGGAATTAAACGACACTGACAAGTAATCTAACCGTGCACTAATGTAAACAAATAAAGATAGAGCGCGTTATATCACATACGAGATGTGTGAGATACGTGCACGCGCACCCCCCTCACCCCACCCATAAAGCGGAGATGCCATCAGCAGCACCTCCATCATTATGAACCATATTCACCAAATTAGTGTAAAACGCCCACAAACGCGCACATAAAGGCTGCTGGCTTGAAAAAACATAAAAGCCAAGCCGTTTTCGTTGTGAAAATATGACTGAGCATCATGTTGAGGAATAACGTTACACGCGCAGGTTGGTGCCATCATCTCTCGCGCACCGTCGAGCGAGCGCTCTCATCTCTGTAATTCATGAAAATAATCACATTTACCTACCTGCTAATTGCATGTCCGCTCTTAAACTAACGGGCAGTCAGTGCAAAGCGGGCAGAAACTGTGAGAAATAGCGTTCGCTCGGTGTAGTAGAATTGATGCTCTGGGTTCGGTCTCTATCCGCGAATCCACCCCACACAAAGAGCAGAAAATGGCTGCAAGTGCATGCTCTTAAAGAGACAGGCAACCATTTAAAACAGCATCTCTGGTGTGAGTCATCCGTTTGCGTCTCTATTTTGAAATTTCTTCGAGTCGTGCATTAATTTTTGTATGATTATGAACAAAGAGGGAAAGAGAAGTGTAAATTCTATGGTGTTTTCTATGAGTGTGCATGGTCATAAATTTGCATCGACTGCTGTACTTCTGACCCACTTCGCACTCTATCTCTGTGGTCGATGTATATTATGCCATGAACAATGATGGTTTAAGTTTATAGGAATATACAGAGACAAATATTCTAGAAATATACTAAGGTGAATTCACTGATAGCATTTTTATTAAGAGGCAATGCCTCCTGGAATTGATTTTCAGAGGCACTTTTGAGGGTGTATTTTTCTAAAAAGATAAACACAGAATGTCAAATGACAAACTGAATCAAATTTAAATCTTCTGATCCCAGGACTAAGGGTCTGCGATGAGGGGCCCGGGCCCTGTTTCTTTATTTCTCTGCATTAGTTTCAAAAAATTATTTCTCTCTGGAAACACATTAAATAAATATGCACTTATTTGGTGCCTATGGCCTCAGGCTGCACATACAGTGAACACTGGCATGCTGGAGTGTTTCTATTCTGTGCCGTTGTCACAGTAACCAGTGAAGGCATTTGTGTTACTATGCTCCAATCAGCATTAACAGCAAGTCCGCATCATGTGCTTAAACATGCATGATTGTCATAATAAACAGTCTGTAGACTAGGTTAGTAAAGTAGCTTTAATATAATCACATTTCTCAAAAAATCAGTTCAAATAGATTAGTATTACTAACTTTTACTTCATTTAGCAAATTGTGAGTTTAGTTTATCTAGACTAAAGGAAAGTATCACTGACAGAATCAGTAGGTAGATGTAAATGTGATGTTTTGTTGAATACATTACAACAGCAATCAGCAACATTTTTACTGGTGGTGAAAAAAATATGGCTCATGTGTGCCTCCTAAGGGACAGATTTGTATTTGCAGAAGTCATGCATGTATAAAAACAGGAAAAATACAGTGACATAATGTGGAATAAATGATGAAAATAAGAAATCCGTGAAATAAATAAAATATACAAATAAATACAATATGTGATTAGTACAATATACAGTATTTTCATTTAAAGGTATAGTTCGATCAAAAATGAAATTATGTCATTATTTACTTATTCTCATGCCATTCAAACCTATTAAACATTAAAGAAGAATTTTTAAGCAGCTTTTTTTTTCATACAACAACAGGCCATAATCTGTCAAGTTTTTCAAGCTGCAATGTAAGGCACATCTACAGTTTTAATTATTTATGTATTTATGTATTTATTTATTATATCATATAGCTTCAGTCTGAACACCCAGCTAACATACAGCTTACAAGTCAAAACCTAACACAATTTAAAGTGCCTTTTTTCCTATTTGGTCAAATACGAACTTCCATATATGGAAAACTGCTATGCAAAGATTCTTCAAAATTCACCTTTTTTGTTCCACAAAAAACAGGTTTGAAATGACATGACGGTTATTAAATGATGACATGATTTTTTGAATGAGCTATCCTTATAAGCCAGTACAGGGAAGGGTGTGATCAGGATCAAGGCTCTTGTTCAAGGCAGGCCAGTTCATGCAGGAGCAGAGCAAACGAGGGTCGATCCTCAGGTTTCTGTTAAACAAACATTGTTATGTTTATGTTGCCGTGACAATAATGACACTAACAAGACGCATAGACAAATAACTAAATAAACAGATCAGGATACAGAAACATTACCTGCTTTGAATTACATGAGTAACAAAAGACACACATTAGGAAGGTTTAGTAATAAAACAACACATTAATTGTGTGTAAAAAATACCCTACATAATCCACATTTAAAACTGTGAAAGAAAAAAAAAACGTTAAAGCAAAATGTGAACATGACTAACTTCCTCAGAAGGCCCTATTCGTGAGAACAGGATTTCTCAGTAAAACCACCTTTATATGGGATGATGTTATATTTGATTAATATTCAAATCAGCTTACAGTTCAAGGATGATTTATATGCTGGAAAGTTTATGATGCATTTTATGGTGGACTCACCTCTTTCCAGCTCCACTGCATTAACTCGTACACACTCTGTGGACAGAGGCGGGGTCTCAGGAGCCGCAGTCCTGCATTTAGGGTCTCCACTACCTCTGCATTACTACGGCTATCATAGGGCACACGGCCCTCACTGTACACCTCCCACATCAACACACCTGCAAATGAGACGTCAATATATATTAGATCAAATATGTGGATAAAGGTGAGTGTTGGTTCATTTTTCTGATTAACATCGTCTCAGTGGATCAATATGGACTCACCAAATGACCACACGTCTGATTTGCTGCTATACTTCCCGAATTTGATCACCTCTGGAGAGGACCATCTCACTGGAAATTTGGACCCAAAAGAACTGGTGTATTGATCATCTAGGACAAACCTGCAGATACAGGTGGGAATTTTCCATTACGCTGAGGTCTTAAAAAGCAGTGACGTGGGAATCCGCAACACTGAGGCGCTGCTACTCACCTTGTCATTCCAAAATCTGATATCTTCACCACATTATCTTCAGAAACCAAACAATTTCTTGCAGCCTGTTTAAACAGGAAGATTTTAGAACAAATTGTCCCAAAAAAGCAAGGAATTGACACTTTAAAGACCCTGTTTACACTTACCAAGTCTCTGTGGATGAAGTTGGAGCTCTCCAGGTAGGCCATCCCCTCACTCACATCCAAACACATCCCCAGCAGGACCTCCTGGGAGAAACTGCCTTTTCTGGCACGCAAGAAGTCTGTCAGGCAGCCGTTCTCCATGAATTCAAATACCAGATAGATGGGTGAGCGCTGAGTGACCACACCATACAACTGGACCAGCTTATTGTGGGACAGTTTCCTGTGGAGTTAAATCAAAATGGGAACATGACTAACTTCCTCAAAAAGCCCTATTCATGAGAACAGGATTTCTCAGTAAAACCACCTTTATATGGGATGATGTTATATTTGATTAATATTCAAATCAGCTTACAGTTCAAGGATGATTTATATGCTGGAAAGTTTATGATGCATTTTATGGTGGACTCACCTCTTTCCAGCTCCACTGCATTAACTCGTACACACTCTGTGGACAGAGGCGGGGTCTCAGGAGCCGCAGTCCTGCATTTAGGGTCTCCACTACCTCTGCATTACTACGGCTATCATAGGGCACACGGCCCTCACTGTACACCTCCCACATCAACACACCTGCAAATGAGACGTCAATATATATTAGATCAAATATGTGGATAAAGGTGAGTGTTGATTCATTTTTCTGATTAACATCGTCTCAGTGGATCAATATGGACTCACCAAATGACCACACGTCTGATTTGCTGCTATACTTCCCGAATTTGATCACCTCTGGAGAGGACCATCTCACTGGAAATTTGGACCCAAAAGAACTGGTGTATTGATCATCTAGGACAAACCTGCAGATACAGGTGGGAATTTTCCATTACGCTGAGGTCTTAAAAAGCAGTGACGTGGGAATCCGCAACACTGAGGCGCTGCTACTCACCTTGTCATTCCAAAATCTGATATCTTCACCACATTATCTTCAGAAACCAAACAATTTCTTGCAGCCTGTTTAAACAGGAAGATTTTAGAACAAATTGTCCCAAAAAAGCAAGGAATTGACACTTTAAAGACCCTGTTTACACTTACCAAGTCTCTGTGGATGAAGTTGGAGCTCTCCAGGTAGGCCATCCCCTCACTCACATCCAAACACATCCCCAGCAGGACCTCCTGGGAGAAACTGCCTTTTCTGGCACGCAAGAAGTCTGTCAGGCAGCCGTTCTCCATGAATTCAAATACCAGATAGATGGGTGAGCGCTGAGTGACCACACCATACAACTGGACCAGCTTATTGTGGGACAGTTTCCTGTGGAGGCAGACAATGAGCAATGCAATACATTAATCCCTTACAGAAAAAAACACATGAACTTGGTTCACATAAATGTGTGAAACCCATGTGATCACATGTGAACATGTGATTACATATTGTCCACACATGTCCACATTTGTTCACGTGTTCACATCTGATCAAGTGTTTCACATATTTCACATGTGTCTTGCCTGTTTGTTTTTAATATAAAAGTTCTATTTTTAGCAAATGTAAAAGCCCTTTCACACCAAAAAGTGAAAGGAATAAGCCTAAGGCTGAAGGAAAAGTAAATTCACATCCGTACAGTAGAACACAGGAGAAGAAGGTTCAACACTCATTAGCAATAAAAAAAAAAATTAGCACAAATGTTAGTTTATGTAAAGTCATTTTTGCTTATTAGTATGGTTGAACTGGATCATCAAAGGTCAACAGCAAAGACATTGGTTAATAAAATGGGATTAAATACATAAAGGATATTTGTGTTATTTAACATACTTAATTATTGCAGGTTTGCGTCATATCTGAGTTTGTATTTCACTGTTGTAATTTATTTTGATGAATATTGAATCTGTGTTTTTGCGATGAATTTATGCATGTTCACATTTAGTCTAGAACTACTTGCAGGTTTGCTTCATATCTGAGTTTGTATTTCACTGTTGTAATTTATTTTGATGAATATTGAATCTGTCTTTTTGCGATGAATTTATGCATGTTCACATTTAGTCTAGAACTACAGTAACATCATGTTTACACAGCGCACACAAAGCCTCTTTACTTCTGATTTCTCTCAACATGGGGACAGGAGACTTGTCAGTCAATAAACTCTATAACTCAGATATTTTCTTGTAAATTAAAAAGTAATGCGTTACTTTACTAGTTGCTTGAAAAAAGTAATCTGATTATGTAACTAGCGTTACTTGTAATGCGTTACCCCCAACACTGATATATATATATATATATATATATATACACACACACACATACATACATGATGCACACACACTATTAAAATTTTCTTTAAAAAAAAAAAATCTTTTTAAAATGTTTTTCTAAGAAGTCTCTTATGTTGACCAAGGCTTTGGTCCAATCTTTAATGTCATATGATCCTTTAGAAATCATTCTAATATGCTGATTTGGTGTTCAAAAAACATTTTTTTAATATTATCAATATTGAAAGCAGTTGTGCTGCTTAATATTTTTGTAGAAACCATGATAATTTTTTCCCAAATTCTTTGAGGGTTAAACAGCTCAACAGAACAACATATATATATATACACACACACATACATACATGATGCACACACACTATTAAAATTTTCTTTAAAAAAAAAAAATCTTTTAAAAATGTTTTTCTAAGAAGTCTCTTATGTTGACCAAGGCTTTGGTCCAATCTTTAATGTCATATGATCCTTTAGAAATCATTCTAATATGCTGATTTGGTGTTCAAAAAACATTTTTTTAATATTATCAATATTGAAAGCAGTTGTGCTGCTTAATATTTTTGTAGAAACCATGATAATTTTTTCCCAAATTCTTTGAGGGTTAAACAGCTCAACAGAACAACATTTATTTGAAATAGAAATAACGTATATAATACACACTTCAATACAACTCTAATTTTACTTGACAGTTTGTGTTTTACCTGATGACAACTCCTTGATCCTTGGGTTTGTGACATTTCTAGACACACAATGCCTCAATCTGGTTATTAAACCTGCCACATAACAAGCACAGGACAAAGTAAAGACTCTTATGCAGTTTTACCAACTTTAAGATTTTAAAAGACAGTTTTTGAAAGCAGTGCCTCTAACGAGATATTATGTAATGAACGCTATTCCAAATATTGGCATGCAATATACTGTAAGAGCAACTCTTTACATGGAATTTTTTCCAACTTACCTGCTGGATTGTGTTGATGATAGCGGATGAGCTCTGGAATGGTCGGGAACACGTATTTCTCAGCTAAGTAATACATGACCTTTTCACCTTCTCTTTGTACTTTGATCTGGTAGTGCTTAACTAGGGGATACTTCTCTCCATCAGTCCTGCAGATGAATGACATTCATTAAAAACTTCAGAACACCTGTGTAAGATCAAATAATGATCGGATAAAATTGTCAGATATTTCTTTGTAAGTGATTGTAAGTAACATTAATTTCATAGCAAAGTAAGCGTTTACCGTGAGACTTTGGAAAATATTGACACGGTGTATACACCTGGGTGTTTAGAGTCACGAACCATGAAACCCCCGTCCTTGTTCTGTAAAGAAAACCTTTAATGTTAACCATAAATTCAACCGTAAATATCAACACTTACCAATATAAATACCATAAATGAGAAAGTATACACAGAATTATGATTTTTATTTCATTCTGACAAATAAAGTGGTATGGATAAATGCGTAAAAGTATTTGGTAGAGGGACTGTTTATGCTAGTTACTGGTTATGACAGCTATTGAACTGTTTCAAATCTCATGTGTATGTCTGAGATCGCTCATATTTAAAACATAACATGTAAGATTGTCTTGACAGGAAACACAGCAGCCACATTCTGGTTTAAGGGCTGTAGATTTTGTTTGAACTCTGCATGCTTTTGCCTGCACCGTCTGCAGACGTTGCTCTTGCAGGTTTGCAAAGAACCCCAACTTTCTGCAATGCCCAAAAACTGTGAAAATGTACTGAAGTGGCATGACATAAGTGTTTAACAAAGTTAAAGTTTACGGTTATCTGATTAATGACATGGAAACATTCATTGACATTATGACTGTCATTTGTTGGTTACCTTACCTCTCTCATTAGTAAGCTCTCTGCCTCGGTCCGAGTTATGTCTTTATTGTACCATCTATAAAACCACAAAGCATTGGAAAAAACAAAGCCATTACTGTATGCTTAATCAAGCTTTGACTATGAACTCAAGACATTTTTTTTTCTCAAATCTTTCATATCAAATGTTTTATTCTGTAACATACGGATGAGAACTTACTCAAATTTATCGATGTTGTTTGATATTTTTTCTGCAATATATATGCACGGCACCGTGCCAACATTTCTGGAACAAGGGAGAAAAGAGCACAAAAAACTTGTAAGATTTAAAAGCCTCTGTTATTTCCTACCACTGAGTTTTAATTAAAAACCATTGTTTTCCCACAATTCTGTGCTTCTTCCCTGTTTTTAGTCATTATTATGCTAAACAAAACTTTAGCAACTTCATAGAAGAGGTGCTATACATCAGTACTGCCGTCATTGTTTATTCTTATAGAAATGTTTTTTTTTTTTAGTTAATTAACATATAATCTTGGCTGAATAAAAATCAGTCATATAGAGGATTTTGTCCCTTTTTTTCGTTTTTAGGTGTTTTTAGTATAATGGCAACATCTTGGGACATTTCTAAAAAAAAAAAAAAACAATAAAATAATAGAGAAAATAAAATAAAATAAATAATTCACACAACTCTCCACCAAGGACATTTGCCATTGTTTAATACTAAATATCCAAGTAACTGTATGGGAGTCTTATCACTTTCAATATATAAACTAGAACCAACGTAACACCATGCTTTTGATAATTTTTTAGTAATTAATACTTTATATATCATTGTAATATTTCCAAAGAGTTAAAATGTAAATTAAGCTGCTCAAATCAGTTAACTGCCAGATATCATGTAAATAATAAAATTTTATCATGTTGTTTATATAATACACCAGGAATGATGCTACAGTTAAATGATGCAATAATACATACTGTACCTTTTGAAATGTCTAAAACTTTTGATCATTTTCAAGGAACTGTTACTCAATGCTGAAATGGTTCACATCTATTTATCTATGTATCGAATGGGTTTTTGTGTCTGATATTCATGACGGCGAGTGGAAAGGGTGTGACATTTTGTTAAACGATCTCATTCAGCAGAGATGAAAATTTTTTATTCATTAACATGTTTATGCAATGTGCCAAACTTCACAGTGGAGGGACTATTTTAGAAGGCATTATAATAACTTTAACTTTAGAGAGTGCAAAAATTGTAAATTATATTTACCCGTTTTTGTCCCTCACAGTCCACCAGTTTGGTTCTGAACTGTCAATGACAAAATACTCTTCATCTTTATGCAGAGGCAGGTCTGTATCTTCTACAGGGCTGAAATTCCTCAAAGCCACAACAATCCTCTCCTCTGGATCTGAAGATCGGCGCTAGTGGATAAATACAGACAGCTCAATTTACAACATCTCATCCAAACACTGTCCTGATTATACTAAACTGCAAAAACAACAGAAACATTTAAAGCTATTTCAAAATTTCAAACCTAAAACATTAAGTATAAAATTTGAATACACATAAAAGCATAGGAGTCAGAAACTGTAAACAGAGACTGAATGACAAACCGTGGGATCTGGAGTTGGGGGAAGAGGTTTGGCTGTGGGATGAAATGAAACACATAAATTTATGCAACTGACAGAAATGGACTGAGATTCATCATACTTCACATTATAATTACTGCATTCATATATTGTGGAGTGACTATGATGTTTTATGATTTGAAATAAGCATATGTTTAAAACTGTTTAACTTGAAAGATTTTGCACCTCCACTGGGATAGTATTCACTGCATCCTGTCGCCAGCTTCTCGGTCTGCTGACAACATCTCCATTTCCCTTCTACCCAGAAGTCAGGATGGTACTTCAGAAATAAGTTGTTATTTTGCGTCGCTTCATGAAGAAATAACATAAAATACAAAAGATAAAGTACACATTTAAACATTTAAACAAAAGACATATAAACAAAAGTATTGAAAACAGACCAAGATCATATTCCACTCTACACTTAAAACCCTTTTTTCTTTTCTGTTTTCACAATGCATATCACTTTCTGTAACAGCTGCTTACCTTCTTTCAGAGCCCTGACCCATTTTAACCTACAATCGTTGTCTGGAGCAAACACATACAGATAGTAGCTGTCATGGGCGACCTGTCAACAAACAAATACGTGAACAAAACTTTTAAGCAATGTAAACAGAAATCAAACAGGCAGAAAGTTCATTTTAGATTTTTAGGAAAAGCACTGAGAGATATGACTAGGCATTATTTCGAAAATAATTACAGGCACTTTCTCCTGTATGAACTGTTTTGCGTCAACAAAATCTTGAAGCAAAACTCCACTTGATTCTCACCTGGAAAGGGTACTTGTAATCACAGGGAATGGGAACATCACTGCGAACGATCTCCACACACTTGATATGAGACAGTTCGATGCAGCCTTTCTGAGTTGGCTTTTTCTAAGGCGATATACAAAGGAATGTCATTATTCTACAGCTCATTCATCACATTAAACTTATTAAAAAGGTGGAGAAAGTAATTTTGCATCTAATAAAAAGCAGTAGCTTTCCAAATACTACAAAGCAAAAAGTAACAGTTACAGTGAAGTCTCCAGAAGGTGTGACTACATACCCCAGGACGATGTTCGAAGTATGTCAAATCCTGTGTGTTTAGCACAAAAATCCTCTCTTTGTAATTGCATGGCGAAGTTCTTCGCTTCTGTTGTGATTTCTTGTACAGTGTTTCCTTTAGGATGACCCTTGGGTACATGGTGAAATCTGGATATTTAACTACCTCATGGAAGGTTGACTCATGGCGAATGATGTGTGGCAATTACTTATACACTTGTAGAGTTTACACTGATGTATAAAGCATAGGTTTCCGGAGTCGACACTTTAGGTAAGCCACTTCCTGAGGTAGACTGCACAAGTTGAACTCCCAAGCAATCACACGCACGCGCACACACACACACACACACACACACACACACACACACACACACATGCACTTTCTCCTTCTTTGTTAAGTAATTTTTTATAATGTTTATTAAGTGGTTTTCATTGTAATATTACAGTGTAGGTGATATCAATTGTTACTATCCGTGTGAGGGCATCTGTAACTGTCACGTTTAGTTTGGTTTCTGTTCCTGGTTGAAGTGGCGTTTAGTTTTCCCTGTGTCCCTTTTGTTTAATAAAGAAGCTGCAAATAGATCCATATGTCTCTCTCTCTAACTGGCACACTGTGACAATCACAACATTGTAAACAAAGCCAAACTTGAAAAGGAGGATTCACTTGAACATTTATGCTTATATTTCCTCATGGAGGCAGTGAAAAGAGAAGAAACATTAAAATGTTATCCAAGAAAAATGAGTGTTAATATTTTTGAGAACAGACATAATAGACAAAAACTTGAAACTTGACATTACAGGAAGAGGTTGAATAATTCTCTAACCACAAACATTAATAAGAAAACCGCATCACTGTGAAATAAACACAGTCATTTAAAAAGTAACTTAATTACTGTACGCATCTGCTATTAGCTACAACAAAGCACAAGTTTTTGTGTAGGTTAAAAGAGTATAAATTTATGTGAAGAAAGGATAAAAATTCCCAACATATTTACTGGTAGCATTTTTAATTTAAAAAAACCTTTTCCCCCTCTTTTTACTGAAAACCATACATGATGTTTTGTTTTCTTTTGCTTTCTTGACTTTTTATAGGAGGTGCATGAGCCTAACCAATGTTTATAAGTATATATACACTATGACCAATGATTATGTGTATGTGTGTGTGTGTATGTATATATATTATTTAATAAGCTCAGTTACAACCAACCTAATCAGCTTTTCCTCTAATAAATTCTTAATATAATATACTATTTTTTATTCAGATATTAAAAAAACTTTTATACAACACAATAATTAATAAACAAGAAAGTACAACAATTAAGCAGACAAAATAAAGTAGAAGATGCCATGGAGAATGCAAACACACACACACGCACACACACACACACGCACACACGCACGCACGCACGCGCACGCGCACACACACACACACACACACACACACACACACACATGCACTCTCTGGTCAGCTATCCTTGTAGGGACTCTCCATAGGCGTAATGGTTTTTATACTGTACAAACTGTATTTTCTA